TTGAGTCAGATAATTAAATGATAACCCCTCATCTAGTATATTTATAATGAGGTGCATCACACACTACAATTGGCAATAGAGGATCCCATAAAGAAAATATTACAATCCCTTATCAAAAGTGTCGATTGGGTCAACAAATTTCACAAGACTTTAATATATTTCGCAGAATTGCAGCAATGAAACCACGAGAAGTTCCTGATTATGATACAAGGGGGTTCTCTACTTATTGATTTTCAAGTCATATTTAACAAATCGAGCATATATAGAGAAAAAAGGTAAAAATGATCTGGCACTGTGTGATCCAGAGCTTGATTGCAGAACTGCGCGACTTGCAGATGAGCCAATTAAGTCTGGCTATGATTAACATATCAGAATACAGGAATCATATGATGTAATGTCGCGCGCCTATCTGGTTACCGTGCGTAAGTGAAAAAACAAAAAATGCAGAAAAATCACTTTAGCAACTTTGTTTAACTAGTAAAAACTGTTCGTGCAATGTTATATTTGCCTTTAACAATCATTTTTGAATCATTTATGATTTCAATCACCGTGTAGATATCTGTTTAAAAAAAGAAACAAGTATGAGCTTTTTGTGTTTTTGATGTTCAGAAACACCCCTTTTCACAATAACTTTGTCGCCTATTCGAAATTTGATTTGCTTAGTGTGACTAAATTTGTTTCTTTGCATTCGCTCCTGATACGAAGTCTTTTATACATTGGTGTCATTTTCAGAATCGAGAATTTTTGTGGTGAGAACCCCACTCCTTTTATAATAAAGTGAAAAGGGGGATTTCTTAGAGGCACTATGGACAGTGATATTATATTCATATAGTACTTCTTCGAGATAGATGATCCAGTTTTTTCCATCATTTATGAATAATTTTTTCTGTAACCATCTAGAAATGGTTTGATTGACTCTTTCGATCTGTCCATTGGCTTCAGGGGTCTCGGACGGCTGAATTTTTGAAGTATATTGTATTGGTTACAGAGCAAGGACATTTCTGAATTTGAGAACTCGGTGCCATTGTCAGATTGAAGAATTGATGGAGGTCCGACAGCTCTAAAGAGAGTCTGAAGCTCTTTGCGAACTGTGAACATGCTTTTATTCTTAGATTTTATTGAGCATGTGAATTTTGAATACACATCTATCACATTCGAGATGTAGCAAAATTCGTTGTTCTGATGGACCATCTTGAAAGATCTACTAGATCCATTTGAAACCGCTCATTAGGTGCTTTTGAGCTTATATGAATCATGGAAGTCTCATTTTTCTTTAGTGGCTGTGCTTGAGAACATGTTGTGCAAGCGTCTACAAAGTCCTGTATAACTGCTCTGTCAAAACTGTGATAGAAATCTTGCAGATATTTCTCGGTCTTATTGACACCCCAATGTCGACTTCTCTCTATGTGTTCACAATTTTAAATCTCTCTCATTTTTTGTTTGTCTTCCCAAATTGAAACCTCTTTTTCCATTTCATCCTTAATCAACCACAGCTTGTTTTTTTTGCAAACAACCGTCTTCGCCTTTTGCTTCAGCCTTTATTCTTGTTGTCGGGGCATTCCTCCTGCCATAACACCAATTGATAAGAAATCACACATGTTTTCGTATTCTATTCGAGTTTTTGAAATTACAATCCTCATTTTGAGGGTTCTTTGAAATTATTTTCTAAATGTCAGAAATTCATGTAGACTATTTAAAAAATATGATTTTGATCTTAATAAAATACTTTAAATATTCCTGAAGCATTTCGAGGCTAAATGTTTCGTGATCGCATTTGAAGACAAAGCCAAAAAGTTGATCGGGGTTCAAATCTTCCCCTTGTTACTGCGATTTTATAAAGTTCAAGTCTCTCTCTTATAGATTATATAGATTGAAATCGTAGTGATAAGTAAATGAGAAAAAAGTAACCTTACAAGCATTATAACCTGTTATGCGCGCCACATGTAATGAGTGAATTTTCATTGTTTTAAAACTTATAGCCGCATGAATTAGCTTAAAAAAATTATTACTCGCATTTATTTGAAAAAAGAAATGTAAACCCGAAGTACTAAATTAATGAATAGTGATATAATGTTTCTATCGATTTTCAAGATCCCTGAATATCTAATGATGCAAATGATGAAAAAATTAAACATTTTAATAAGCGAATTAGTAAAATGAATACAAAATTGTCCAAGTATTTAATAATATGCGAGAAAAAAAATCAGTATCAAAGATGAATCTCTAGATCGAGGGCCAAGGTAAAATGAAAAATATTTTTGTTGAAATTTGAAAACCAAAACAGGAAACAAAACCATTTTTCTTTTAAAAGGTATAACTTCTCACCATTTTGAGTAATTTTAATTTTATTTTACTATTGTTTTTCTAGCAGTATTCAGGTGATATGACCGAAAAAATGTGCCATTTTGCCCTTCACTTTTTAAATGACTGTCTGAATAACGTTTCTACTTCTGAATGACGGAAAAATCAAAACAAACGAAGAGAAAACATCTTATCAAAGATAGACTTGATTATCAATTTTATCAATTGCGGAAACTCGATCAAATACAAGCTCCGCAATGAGATCTAATTATTAGCCAAATTATGCAAGCCTTTAGCCCACAAAAAGGGCAAAAACATACAGATTCGATTGCCAATATCAATAAAGGCATCGATGCATTGAAGAAAAAAGTAGATTTCAACAGAATGGAGATCGAAGACATGTTTACTGGACCTGACATTCCGCTCAAAAAATCAAAAATTCATATATGTAAAAGTGCTTTTGAAAAATAAACATCAAAAAAGATTAATTATGAATTTTGTTTCTAGAAACATGAATGAAGTGATCCATTCAAACTCAAAATTTAGGTGATATCACGAAAAAATGTAAATCCGACAAAATTCTGTAAGACACAATGGAGCTCAACCTGGTTGCCTGTCAATTTTATTTCGCTCATTTTGAACATTTAGTAGATAGATTCTAATCAGAAATTACCGAAAAAAATGAAAAGAAGTGATAAAATTGGGGCATTATTCTAAAATATGAACGAATTAATTTTGAAATAACCGACATATACATTGATTAATGATTCTTGATCCAATATTTGAACAAGGGTAAATCTTTTTCTTCAATCCGAAATGCCTTCAAGCTGTATGAATTCATGAATTTTAACGATTACTCATATCACATCTGAGATTATTTTGAAAAAAGATGGACAAACGATTCAATTTATCGCTTTCATTTAAAATGAAACTCACAAGAAATGCTAGATATATTTCTTCAATTGCTTGCATGCAGTTTAGAAGTACAAATATTATTTTCGCTTCTAAGAGCGCAATGTACACCTTATCGACAAATCCTTGGAGTCTATCTACAAAAAAAATATGCCGAAAAAATAAACAGAGCTTTATTTGAAGAGCCATTTCGTACTCGAAAAAAAGTAGGTATCAGAAACAAAGGGTTGGGAAGAGTAGGACCGGTGCTTTTCGTGTCTGTCTTCTTTGTAATTGTAATGTGTAATAAAAATATGAAAATATTAGAATGAAGATATTTTATTCTTCATGGCGTCTATTTATAGTTTAAACTGAAATCCTTTTTGAAACCATCTACCACTTAAAACGTGGGTTACCATTTCTGCAACATGATCTGCCATTTAGCTTTGTGCCTCCGATATTTGTTACAGAAATCTACCACTTTATTACTGGGTTCTATCACCATCTCATGACCCCTTTTGAACATTATCTGAAACACATCGTGGAACCAATTTGGTTTCCTTTTATGGAGTCTCTCGGTTCTCATTGGGTAACATGATACGACCAGTCTCATGCCCCTCTAACACAATGAAAACTTTATTTTAACAGAACTTAAGGTTTCCCATGAGAACTTTTCTACTACATCACCAGTTGATCAGTCATCTCTCGATGGTTGGAAATAAAGTAATTGAGATGAAATCGACCTTGAATTCACTCAAAAAAGCTCTAGTTTTCTAATTACTATCATAGTGTTTGACCTCAAACCTTTTCATACAAAAAAAAACTCGATTTAAGTATAAGAGATTAGAACAGCTACCTTTTTCGAGGAATTCACGCAATATGAGAAAATGGTCGTATTGGATCTAGACATGCTTCTCTTGTTGCTTTGGGATTAGAATAAAAAAATGTTTCATATATTAAACTTCATAAGCCATGCAATCGTATCAATACCCAGATCACAAGTATGAGTGCAACGCATGTTTTTAGATCTATCATTAGTTTGTGACAAACAGATTTCTCGACTTCATGACACATTTTTGGACGATATTTTATTTCTATGAATGAACAGGTCTCAAACTGAGAAAGTTTCATTTTTCGTCATTTTTACGAAAACTTGAATGAAAGTTCTCTTTCTGTCTTTTTAGCATTCAAAAAATCCGGTTCATTTTCATCATTTAATTATTGCAATTAGATCCTCTTTGTCTTTGGATAAGCAGAGGAAAAATTAGATGAAGAAAAACAATACCAAATAAAATATTTTTTTCGATTGACATTTTTGAATAATACAAAATTCTCGTATTTTTTTCTCTTATGTTGAGGGATTTTTTACTTATTTTACTGATCAGGAGTAGAGGTCGGATTAGGATTGAAATCTATGATTAAAATTTATATATGTTTTTTATTAAAAATTCTAACCAATTACTTCTTTGATTCCTTCGAGAGTCCAAACCATTTATTTTTGGTGATATTGCCACCCCGTGTTGGAAGGAGATTGCTTTGTAAGTATCTTTCCAGATACGAAGCGCTTCCCAAGCCAACATCGTGTGGGTTTTTGTAAAAAGACCGGCTTTTGTAAAAGGTTTGTTTCATTTTGTTAGGGGTGTCGCAAAAGAAAAAATTTTAAAACCGGCCTGATCACGGTGCTACGCACAACGTGATAATATATAGTTGTAAATATTTTCTATTTTCATAGATCTTTGATTTTCACGATAAGTGGCTCTTATATGACTAAATCCTCGCTCAACTTCGCAATTTGTCAGTTCTAAATATTAGTAAATGTTTTTTTCGATTGACCAAGAGCCAAATGGAATTCGATTCAAATTCCATATCTCAAAATTCTTATCTAATTTTTTTTGGAATCTTTCTTTCAGATCAGGATGCTCTGTTTCTTGATAACAGTTCATTATAAGATCGATTTGTTCTTGGTATTTCAAAGCATAAGATTCCAATTTTGTTATCGTATCGGCTAAAAAAGCATGTTGTTCAATGAACAAGTCTTCTGATTTGACATTCTCTAGCACAACTTGCTCTTTTAGACGTCTAACTTTGTTATTGGTTTCTGGTAATGACAGACAAAAACTTTTTATCATTTCAAAGTTTTGCATGATAAATTGCGAGCATCTTATCTTACTTCCCCATCTGATTTCGACTGACCAAGGAATCATCTTTAACTGTGTAAAATGTCGCTGATGTTTCTGATTTTTTGAACTTCTTTTCAAAACTTTCAATAAATATTTGTAGAATTTTTTGCAATTTGAGCTCAATTTTTCAAGATCTTGTGCTACTAAATTGATATTTTGAGCTATGCAAATTATATGTTTTAAATTCGGAATTTGAGATTTCAATTTACGACCAACTGCCAAACAAGTTGATGCACCATCTGATATAATCGATTTGCATCGTTACGTGTAGCCACTATCGCTATTTAACGATCCAATTGTCAACAAAAATAAAGAAAATTGTGTCCGCTTCTTTATTTGGTATTTCTTTCATATCTCTTAGAAATCTTTTCTTTTTCACCATTCAAAATTTTTGCAAATATCAAATGAATAGATTTTCCACCAGATATTGTTGTTTCATCAAAGAGCATTTAAATTCTTTTCCTTTGATTTTTTTAAGATTTCATCTTTTGTTTTTCCATCAACTTTGGAATGATGGTTTTTCTATATTGGCATTCAGATTTAGGTACAAAACCCAAACTTTTTTGAAATATTTTGTTATTTCTGAATTTATGATAATTAAAGACACCCCGTTGCCCAAAATAAATCTACATAATTTTACATCAAAATTTTTCACCTCAATTGCATTTTTTCGGAATAAAGCCGTGCTTGTGATTATTCCGCAGCTTTAGAGAGATGGCTAGGTATTAAAAGGTGTTTCTTAAACACTTGCTTTATATACATTTCGCTTGAAAACTTCACATCACAGATTTTGCACTTGAAATGCTCATCCGACTTTTCGAATTTAATGTTTTCACTTAGAAAGAGATCAAGTGAACTTATAGAACAATTTTTAGCACTGGTGTTCGAGTCATGGGCCAATAATATTAATTCATTTTTAAGATTGAAATTTATGATTTACCTGAATTTCTGAGCTCCAAGATCGTTTCAGAATAAGAAAAAAAGGAAGTGTTCAGTCGTAAAAAATAAGTTTGACAAAAAGAGCATTTTATTGTTGCAAAATATTGTCATATAATATTGCAAAATCATAAATTTCAATCCGAGTCCGAGCCCTAGCCAAGCGTAAAAATTAAAAATTTGAGAAAATCAAACAAAAACACGTGAGTTTTTTAAAGATTTTCGTAAGTCTTGGGCAAAAATACAGAATATAATCGACTTTTACCCTTTATTTGCGAAAAGATCCAGGGAATGAGTGGATTGACTATGCAAGATGCTCAACAGCTTGTGAAGCACGCACTTTCAATTAACTCAAGCAACTTTTATCTGATCTGCGTAGATTCATGCATACAAAAACTTGAGCAATATATTTAAAGGAATGAACAATTAAAATTAAAAAAATCGTTTGATTAGTGTTTTTTATTTTGAAATCAACCGCAATGGAAATCACGCCCCCAATTCGGCTATATATCACATAGACCTTAGAATGTTTTTATCATTCTGAATATCATGTTTTTCAACGGTTTTAGGAAGAGAATGTGTATGGCATTATTGTAATCTTATTTTTAATATCAAAAACCTATGATTGTTAGGCAAGGCTTTTTTGATAAATTAAAAAAGCCTGTCTGTAGCTTCATCGGACATTAGCGTTTGAAATTTATAAAGAAATCAAAATTTTCACACATATATAGATTGCTTTTATTGTGTTGAAATTTGGTCAATGAGGACATGGTGCAATTCTGACGGAAAGTTGATATACCTAAAAGAAAAACAGAGAGATATACTTTATATAACAATCAGCTGTTCTGATTTATAGTGTGAGACTTTCAAAAGAGATGTTGAAACCGATAAAATTTAAATAATCAGAAATATTCTAACATTTTATGACCTTTGTAAAAATTTGTACACAGATCTAAATTGCTAATTAAGTGAGGGATTGAAGAACTTGATCTCACGTAAAAAAACCTTAAATGTGTTTATGTATGATTATACTATATAATTTTGAACAGGAATTTGTTTGATAAAAAATAATATGAGACTACTAGCTGCAATTTTGACCTGTATTTTTTTTTGAGTGACAAAAGTATCACTGATCAATATCGTTAGGAAAATCCTAATTGGTATTGAACATCAGTAGATTAGGCGATAACTCTGCTTTTTTGTTCTTGTCTAAACTTTAAAAACATTATACACATGAATCTTCAATAGTTTCATAATATATATTTTGATTCAACTGCGAATTATTTCACATGGGATAATGTGCCCATATTGAAATATTACACCACCATCTCAAACAATGTATATCATTTGTGTTCAAATTTATACCCAAATTGGCGGACTCCATGCACGATATAATGAGAAAATCATTGGAATTGACGCAATTGTTTGTTGAAAAATAATCGAAGGAGAGCAAATGGTGGATCTGACTAGTTTAAGAAATTTGATGGAGAAGTGTTTAGGCTTTTTTGGAAATATTTTGGGATTGTCAGTTACATACGATTTAATAACTCATAAATGCTGTACATATCTTCAATCAGTATAGAATGGGCCATTCGAACACTTTACCGTCAATAAAACTTATACTTTTTCAGATATGGGGCACTCAAATGCTCACACACAATATATAAGATTTTTGGTGTCGATAAATATATTTTTATAAAGAACCAACGAAGAATCTCACAGATTTAAATGATAGAATTTTGGTTAGAAAAAGATGTTTGTCAGAAGAAGGCAAGCTGTCAGATAACTTTTTATTCCGTGCCATGATATCGGGGATGGACAAATCTGCCTTATATGTTCATGTCCCTTTATCGATACTGTTTTGCCTAATCCCCTTTCTTACTATCCTTAGCAATCATATCATTTACACCATTTCCCTCTCTAAATTGAAGCCCTCTGCTTCTACTTTTGTGAATGGTCTGATACTCTTCCTATTGACCTTAAAACGCGGCAATAAAATGATTGTACACCGTAACTACCTTTAGTTCCATTATGGACTATCCAATACGGATCCTTATACCAAATTAGTTCCAACTTAGATTGCCTGTTCAATGAACTTCTTTTCCGGTATACTAACTGTCCTTGTAATAAATCATTAGGTGATTTCCTCGTCTTTTCATTTTCCATTCCCTTCTTCTTAAAGATTTAGAATCCTCGATTAGTTGTCTTCTAATTCGATCCATATCATCTATGATTTTTACTTTTGACTGGTTGTCGATCATCCAATTCAACTGAAAATCAAAAACTTCCCTGCCATATAGAATTTTGGACGGTGAAACCTTCAAACTCGTGATTGGTGTCGTATTTTACGCAAACCCTGCAGAGTCAATCATATCCGACCATCTGGATAGGTCTCCATTTAACATTCTAGCTAACAAACCTATAAAGGTCTTATTTAACTTCTCGGCTGTTCCATTGCACTGCGGATGATAGGCTGACGTTGTGGTATGACGTATATTCAATCGGTTCATTACCTCACAGACAACATTGTTTATAAATTCTGTCCCTTGATCTGAAACGATCAGTTTCGGGAGGCCGTGTCTTAGAAGGATCTGATTATAAATAAATTTAGGAATTTACTCTTTGGTCTTCTTCTAGAGTGGTAGCACTTCTGCCCAACGTGTGGTATAGTAGGTCGCAGCGACAGTAAGCCGATATCCAATTTCATCTTTAGGATGTGCTCCTATTACATCAATTCCATCCTTGAAAAATGGTTCCTCGATGCTTGTTCTATATGTTGTAAATTTTTCTTCATTTTTGCTGTAAAAATTACAGACTGAACACTTTTTTATGAATTTAGAAATATCATTTCTCATACCCTTCCAAATTGCAAAGTTGCGTAGATAAAGAAAGACTGGCTCGCGACCACCATGTGCCTTAGCGACGTGTGTCCTCAACATCATCATTTTTTTTTCATCGCTCGACAATTCCTTAGATTACCCTTTATTCTCATCCTTCAGAATAATTTTCAACTTCACTGTACCACGTGACAAAAGACCAGCAAACATATTTTCTTTGCCTGCAATATGCTCAAATGTATAATCGTGAGCACTTATTTCCATAATTCATCTTGCCAGGAGTTCTTTTGGTTCTTTTTGGCCAAGAAGCCATTTGAGTGCTTGGTGTCATCCCTTATGAAAAATTTGCGATGGTAAGTACGTCTTAAATTGCTCTAATCCAAAATAACACTGAGACACTCTTTTTCAGTTGTTGTATAGTTACATTCTCTCGGCAACAGCCTTCGAGATGCCCACAACACTGGCACATCTGCAGACCCATTGGATTGCGTTAAAACTGCGCCAAGTTTAATATTAAAAGCGCCAGTATAGATAGTGAACTCTGTATTCAAATCAGGCAGCCACAACGATTTAGATTGAACGATATCTTTCTTTATCTGTTCCATCGATTCCCGTTGCCGTGTGCCGAAGTCTCATTTTACATCCTTTTTCAGTAAATCATTTAGTACACTTACCTTTGTACTAAAATTGGGAATAAAACGCCTAAAGACTGTAATAAATCCGGGGAATCCATGTAAATCTTGCGTGTTTTGCAAAATTGTGAAATCCACAGCCTCCATTTTAGCCTTTTCCGAAATTTCAATCATTCCTTTGCCGACCTCAAATCCCGAAAATTTTACTTTTTCACGATGAACTCACATTTTTTAGGATTTAATTGCAGTCTATAGCGATTCAACTGTTCAAAATCCCATTTTAGGTGCTCCATTTTTCTTTTCATTTCTTCAATAGACTAAGATATCATCGAGATAGGTTACAACAAATTTGTTTCTGGCATACTTCATGAACGTATTTATTATTTGCTAGAATGTAAATGGTGCATTGATAAGTCCGAATGGCATAACAATCCATTCGAAACATCCCATGCGTTATAAATCCACTTTTGTGCCGGTCTTCTTCCTTCAAGGTTATATGGTGATATGCGCTCTCCAGATCCAATTTACTAAGAATAACTCCATGATTTATCTCGGGAGGCAGGTCGTCCATTTGAAGTATCGGCTACTGTTTCCGAATCGTGTTTTCATTTAGTTTTCTGTAATCCACACAGAATCGCAGTGTGCCATCGGATTTCTTCGCTAGAACAACCAAAGATACGTATTTAATTTTGCTTATACGTATGTTACCTTCATCCATGTGTTTTCGGTTTGTTCAGCAATGTAAACATTTTCCTGAATACGACAGAAGTCGCCCAGGGCAGAAGTCGCCCAGGACAGAAGTCGCCCAGACATTGATAGAAGTCGCCCAGAGCTGTGACAGAAGTCGCCCAGAAGTGTGATAGAAGTCACCCAGGACTATGACAGAAGTCGCCCAGAAGTGTACTAGAAGTTTACAGTATGCTTAATAAAATGCAAAATATATGAAAATAATTTATGAAGTAGTTTGTATTTATTATTTGTAATCTCTGAGTGATAATGAAAGAAATTGTTTTACCAGTTTTTTTTGTAGAGTAATGTTTTACCACTTGATTTGTTGTGAAAATTGAATTGTTAGCTATTCGAATTAAGTGATTTTCTGCATTGTAATCCTTCAAAAGTAACAATTGTTTTGATAAAAATATTAGTCTCTTTAAAATCATGTATATATCTTACAATTTTTTTTTAATTCTCATGATCTTTGACATAAGAGGTATTTGAAAGAAATTGATGAACATGGCAAAATTCTGCTTTGAATGTAGAAACAAATTTAATAAATTAAATGAAATGCATAAGATTTTTAGTTTAAAACTCAATACTGTACTTTGTATTGTGATTGTGGGAATTTTCTGCTGTACTGATCCAAATAGAACCTCAAGTTTGTGCACAAGTTTAAGCAAATAAATGATATTTATGTGAAACCTTCAACAGAATGCCAGTATTTTATTATTTAATTCATTCACTATTTAGTTATTATTAAATGATGCATTCTATATTTATTAATACTTATTATATATTTCAATTGTCAGAAATCAATAGAAACAAAGAACAAACACATTATGTCTTCTACAGTTCTAGGCGACTTCTGTCATAGTCCTGGGCGACTTCTATCACAGTTCTGGGCGACTTCTGTCACAGCTCTGGGCGACTTCTATCAATTTCTGGGCGACTTCTGTCCTGGGCGACTTCTGCCCTGGGCGACTTCTGTTGTTCCCCATTTTCCTTCTTATTCCGACGGAAGGTTTGCAATACAGATCCTTCTTATCATCCAGTAAATCAATCTCATGTTGCAGGTCAAGTCTAGAGGTTCTGGTGTTTTATTCAGACCAACCTGATCCAGAAGTGCTTTAACCTGAGCTGGTATCGTCTCAACATAGTGTTCATTACCGTTTCCTGATGATAATCTTGAGATTCCAATTGAATGGTTCATTGGGATGATTGTATTACAGAACAGTGGCTCCTCATTCTGATGCTCAGCCAAAGATCTACATTCAGACCAGGGCACGGCAAAGAAAATATTTTTTTAATGTGAAAAATTCATTTTTTTTTCTAATAAAAATTCTTAAAATGACAATATAAAATATCGTTTTTTTTCGGTGAGTTTTCAGGTGAATTATGTATCGTTTAAATTTTATTTTAGGAGGGAAAAATTTCTTTATAAAGAAAGTCAAATAAGACCCTAAAATGCCTGACAAAAAATCACTTTATGACAAATTAATGGCCATCATACGAGCATCTGGCGATGATTTCCAATTGAGCACATCAAAAACCAAAATAAATTGCAAAATTTGTAAAAAAGATTTAAAAATACGATACAAGTCTGATTTAGATGATCATGCGATGGTTTTTTCACATACTAATGGTCTCTCGATCAAAAATGAGAAACTTAAACATGTTGTCGACTCTGAAGGTTTGATGAGAGATGTTTTCATGGGACATAATGTTTCTCTAAACATTTGTGATAGTCCTGTGTACAGATCAGCAATGAAAAAATTCAATGTAAAAACTTTTTCATCAAGAACAGAGAATTGTAAACTTAAAAAGGCGTTTGAATCTAGACCAATTCAACTTTGTGCTCGATTCATGAAAAAGAAACTCATTATGATTTTCGATTCTACGAAAAATGATGGTAAAAATTACACGGTGGTTCATATGAGCACTACTGAAGAACCCAGTAATTTTGAACTAGTATATGCCGATGCATCAGACTTTTCACACAATCATGAAACTATAGAATCACTTATTATAAATTCTCTGTCTTGTATAAGCCAGCCTATAAGTAACGTGGTTCTTATAAGTCACAGATGCTGCGCCTGCAAACGCATTAGCGCGTAAAAATGTTTTGAAAAAACAGCCACATATTGAGTGGCTTTTCTGTTTTAGTCATTTAATACACAATGCGTGTGCAAGATTGAAAACTCACTATAAAAATGTATATGATGTGATTCTTAATTTGAATTCATATATTTTCGCGCACAATTCAACATCATCTATATTTACCGATTTAGCAAAACCGAAAAGAATCTGTGATACGAGATGGGGATCTTTTGTGGACGCATGTATATACTATAGGCATCACTTTGGTTACATTTATGATTGTGTCATAGATGATATTGCGTCTTCTAACGTGAGAATTGCCTTTTTAACCAATCAAGCCTATCAAAAACAAGAGATTTGTAAACAATTGAACGAAATATCTGAATGCTACGGCTGTTTAACCAATGTCATAAAAATTTCTCAAAAAAATGATTTTTCTGTTCAAAATGCAATAGAAGCATATGAATCAATAGATATGGGATCAGATCCAGCCGAACTTAGCATTTATCTTACAAAAAGATGGTCTAAGCACCCACTTCAAAAGATTCAGATCATGTCAGTTAACTCACACAAAAATATGTTGTTGGCACTTCCGAGTACCAGTGTTGTGGCTGAGAGAACGTTTTCTCTATTGAATAATCTTCTTTCAAAAAAAAAACATTTCAAAGGAATCAATTTTGCACCTAGGCTGGTGAAAATGGTAGATCGCATGAAAAAAACTAGAAAGTAAATTTGCTATGAAAAACCATAATTCTAAACCATCGAATTTTTTAGACGTTTTTATACCATAAATGATTAAATTTTGCGGTCTTTGTTAATAAAACATGTCTCATGTAATTCCGGGATTTGCCCGGAGTGGATCAAAAAAGATATATTACGAACTTATTTTTTGTATTTAAAATTTTTCTGTATATAATGGTTGGTATACAATTCAATTTTTTTCAATTAAATGGCTCTATCAAGTCACTAATGAAATTTTTCTAATTTTTCTTGAATCAGTATAGTAGAAATTCACGCGCTTAGGTGATTCTTTCTATATAAACATGCGCTAATGTGGCTTAGTTGATAGATTCTTATCCTTCTAATCATCATTTGTATCAAGAAAAAAGTATTTTTCGAAAATTTGAGGGAGCTTTTATTTTCAAGAAATTCATGCCACGCCCTGATTCAGACTTTTACAAGTGTTAAAGCCGATAATAATCTCTTCGGTGAGATTTTTCATCACGTACAAATCCGTACCACGTTATGATCGGAATTGATATCCATCCCAATTCGAATTTTACATATCATATCAGCCTGTTTGGATATCATCTGTACTTTTTCATTCTCAGTAAGAACAAATCCCCCAATCTCATTTGCCACTTCTTCAGATGTGGAGTAATGAGATGCATTCAAATCAATTAGTGCTCTGTAATTCCTGTCACCAAATCTTAAGTAAGTATACAATCAAATGGTCTTGAATCCACAACTTTCTCCTCAATTATATTGTTCAAGAAGATGTTCTTTGCTTGTTTTGATACACCTTTGTTCCGATCACTTCCATTTTCATTCGTTTTATCTTTCTTATTCGGACACTTCGCAGCATAATACGGACCCGTACAAATTAAACATTCCAATTTACCATAAAGGTTACTTTTACCACGGATTTCTTTCTTTTGTACATTTTTATTGATTTTTTTTTGCTTCTTCTCTTAAGGTTCTTTTGTGATCTTGCGATTTCTTATATTATTATCACAAGTTGCGAGTGCACGAGCGATGTTGATCACTTCCAATCAATCTTTTGTCTCAATAAGTCTACATCTATAAGAACTATGCAGTCCATCGCATCCAAGTTCCAAAATATGTTCTAACGTAAGGTTTGACTCTTTTCTTCCTGCGTAAATGTCAAAAAGCTCTTCTTCTAATTTTCCAAATGTGAATCCCTTCTTCAGTCTTTTGATTATTTTGACAGTCTTATTTATCACTGATGACCCGAAAAACTTTAACATCTCATCTTGAAATTTTTCACCATGAATCCAGAGTCTCTTTATCAAGCCCACTCATCTATTTGTGTGCGTTTCCTGTCGTAGAAGCTTTTATTTTTCTCATTAGAGATCCTTGGTCAATTTTACTTTCTATGTCATCGAATTGTTTGAGAAATTCCTTTGGTTCCATATTCTTGCCATCAAAAAATTTGTAGAAACGATCATTGAGTAATGTCAATAGTAAAAATTGAGTCTTTCTGCATTTTCAACACCATTGATCGTATTCTCTCCATTAGTAGAATTTTTTATTTTTTTTGTCTCTTTGCCGTTGACGCCAATGTCAGAAGAAGGCAAGCTGTCAGATAACTTTTTATTTCGAGCCATGATATTGGGGATGGACAAATCCGCCTTTTATGTCCATGCCTAGGACTCGGAAAAAATCGGGTCACGATATTTTTTTAAACGGCTCGATTCTTCTCATAGATTTTTTGAAAAAAATTCATCCATTATCAAAAACAAAATGACAAAATCTTTGAAAGAATATTTTGCTTTGGTTAAATTTTGTCGAGAGAATACTGATCTTTCGCTAACAGAGAAGAAATTCTTCTGTGATGTTTGCGAAGAGGAGAAAAAATATAACCCGAGAGAGGAAGATGAACCTTTCAAAGCACATCTGAAGACGCCAAAACATCTTGGAAAAAAAGATAAAAAGAAGGAAAAAGGCTTAGATTTTCCTTTGGCTGGCACAGTAAAGCTCGGTTTCCACTTCGAACCTGTCAGAATGCTCATTGCAACCAATACTCCGATAAATAGAGTGGATGATGCCTTTTTAAACAGTTTTTTGAGGAATGAGACTATAAGAAACAAGGATCCGCCTCTTATCACAGAAAATCTGTTGTCGATGAAGTTCTCACCCATTATCAATCATTAATGACCGCTCACTTTAAGAACAAAAATTTTGTGCTCATTTTTGACGAGATGACCATGATTGCGGTCGCAAGCTGTTATTATTATGATAACAGAGTGAAATGAAAACAAAAGGTGCCCTGAATTCTTATTTGATTCTTTCTTTATGGATGATAGCTGCTCTACTACATTGTATACGAAAATAGTCGGAGTGCTCAATGAAATAACACAACATGATTATTCAAAATATTTTAGATGTAAAATGATAGTTTCTGACCGAGCGCCAAATGCTGTTGCTTGTGGAAATTTGATAAAAAATATAATTCCGACCGTGAAGCATGTTACGTGTCTTTGCCATGCACTTCATAACCTCGCTGAAACTGTGCGTGACAGAAATAATTTGGTGAATGATTCAGTTAAATTTCTAACAAAAATACTTCATAAAAACAAATCAAATAGGATGTGGCTCTCCTGATTTGGTTTAGACGAATCAATGCTTAACTCGCCAATTAAAACAAGATGGGGGACTTGGCTCACTTTCTTGAAATGGTTTGAGCAAAATTTCCAGCAGCTCAAAAGATTTATTGATGAGTTTGGACATCTTAAGAATACAGTTGAAATAAGCAGAAAACTCGTACTGATAAACAATGAACATTTCAAGACTCAAGTGAATGAGATTACGCGATTTTTTCCACTTGTTGCCAGCATACTTAATTAGAATTCGAAAAACTCCCAACATATAATCAGATTGAAACTATCGAACAAGTGAGAAATACTTTGGTCAATGGAACACAATACTTGAGCAGATTCGATCAATTTTCAATGGAAATTAAGATTACAATTTTACAAATTATAGATTTTTATTCTTTTAAAAATTTGATGTTCATAATTAGATGATATGTTCAAATCAAAGATTTAATGAGGAGGTAAACACATGTAAACACAATATCTAATAGAATAAGTTATGATGAATAGAACAAAGAGAATCATTAATATCAAACATAATTGCAACAATTTGACAATATAACTCATGATATTTATCCAATAATTCACTTAACTTTAATTGATGAATATCATTTAATTGTTGATACAGTTGAAGAAATTCCTCTTCTTCAGTAATTAACTTTGTAAAAATATTCTGCATTTCTTGGTCTGTAAGTGGAGTGGTGAAACCAATACCAGATATTTGATCTTTGATAATTGCAAGATAATACAGTTTATTATCAATCATATAATCAAAGTCATTCATCTTTCTAATGGAATGAAAAGAAAGAAGAAATTAAAAAAGACTAAATTGAGTTATAGCTTACATTGGGAAAAGAAAATTTTTTCAAATATCTTTATTAAAAAAAGCAAAAGGTAATTACACTTTAATAGAGTTTAATATTGCAGAAACAAATTATGATTCTAACATTTTATCTTTCTTGCTCATGGCTTTTTTAATATTGTGTTTATCAACAAGTTTCTTTAAATCTGGTACATTTAAAAGATATTCCTTATTATAATTTGCCAAAAACTCAATTATAGATATGTATGGATTCTTCATTATGGTCTGCTGATGTTGAAATTGGTATGTTTCAACATAGCTATTTTTCAAGTTATTCTTCATATCAACCTCAACAAGTTGATCACAATTATTATATGGATAATTACAGTGCTTTTGTTCATTATTGATTTTAATAGTTATACATATAAACATTTTGTTGAGGCCAGATACAAGTTTCAACTTTTGATAAAATTCATCAAGGTAATTGTTTATTGTAATTGGATGTTCTGGTAAATGGATAACAATCTGTTGACATTCAATTTTCCAATCATTAAAGATTACTGGCAAATCGGATGCCATTAAATCTTCAATATGGATTACATACAATTCACCATCTAGACCATACTTGAGTATATTAAGAGCTAACACTTTCTTATCATAATCAAAGCTTGTATCTGTAACAATTAAATATTGACTTTTAATATCTTTTTTAGGAGGAACTTGTCTTATTAATTGTGGAATATCAATCCCACTATAAGATTTCTTATTACAAAAACTTTCCATGAAATTAATAAATGAATCACTCTTTCTTCTTACAAAAACAGTTAAACCACTTTCAACACTGATATCATCACATTTCTGTTGATGGAGCAATTTTCTCTTTAAATCCTCAGCAAGGAACAATTTGGAATGAGTTTGATACTGAACACTAGTTGCTACTTTCCTCATTAACTCTTCAGTTGATGATTCTGATGATTGTGATGAAGATATTTGTACAATTTTAATAGTTTTCTTCTTTTTTGGTTGGCAAACTTCTAAACATACTTCTATATCAGATTCTTCATCACTATCTTTGCTACAACTTGCTTTTGGTACTTGAAGAATATCCACAACTTCATTCTTTCTTTTTTTAACAAAGTATTGTGTCATTGTTGCTTCTTTCCTTCCTTCAACTACACCTTCGTTTTTTCCATTACAATCATCTGTTAAAACTTGAATTACTTCTGTTTGCTGTTGATTTTGTAGAGCTGACTGTTGAATATCTCTTTCAATTTTGTCATCTTCAAATAGATTTATGCAAGCAGCTTTATTAATCTTAGTTTTCTTTGATTTGAATTTAAAAACTTTATTATTTTGGTGAGCCATTATCTGAATATAAAAATGAACAAAATAATTAAACTTGAGGTTGATATGCTTTGAAAATAATATATGCAATAAGTTAATAAAATCCAGTATCAGATATTTACAATGTATTTACCTACATTTTTTTAATATAACATGTACAACACTTTTTTTTCAACTATGGAAAATGACAATAACAACAAACCAACAATACTGACTGATGCTAACAAAGGTTTTCTAAGCAAAATGACAATTTATAACATAGGAAAGAATATTTGAAATCAAAACATCATATAAGTCATTCAACTTTTTTCTCATCATGTATTCTTCAGAATGGTGAGTAGATTCCATTACAAACAAATTATCTTCCAGAATCTCAAATGTTATTGATAGACATTCTTCCCATTCTTTATAAGTTTTCTTATTTAAACATGGATCAGTGCTGTTCAACATTTTCAACAGTATATTAACATGGTGTGATCTATTATCATAGAAATATTGGAAGTCATTTATTGTAAAAAAAAAAGAAAGATTGGGATAGTCTGCAATGAACAGCAAAACAGAAAATAAACTTTTAACATAGTTAATTATACAGAAAACATGCATGTTTGTACATGATCAAACAAATGATATATCCATCAATCATTGATAAGTTTTCAGATTATTATTTGTATTTATATTATATTACTACTATCTAAAGATGGCTATATTTTGAATATGTTTTACTGTAGACTAAATAGAAAGTCATTTGGTAATTTATCTAAATCACATTCAATAAGAATGTCTTTTAAATTCATTACAGTATCAATATTTATAATTGTTTTGAAAATTTTATCCTGCATTTCATCTGTAATTACATCTCCTTGAATATTATTTAAATCAGTATGTTCATTATAGTCATATATAAGTGCTATAATATCTTGAGCATAGCTTAATTGATGAATATGATGATTGCAAAAGTATGAATACATTGTTGGTTCTGATAGCATATCTATGTCATAATAAGCAATTATCTCATATAATGTACTGTTAACTTCTTCAATGAGATCATTAACAAAAGTTGTCATCTGTAGCAAGGATTCAATTTTATATTTAAAAATCTTGCTAAACTCCTACAAATAGAACACTTTAACTTTAAGTTATACTGTTTAACAATCAAAGAAATATCAAATTTAAAGATTGTCCAAGAAAATCTTTAATCTAGACGAATTCAATGTTAAACAGCAAAAAAGAAGTTAAGAAAGTGCTTAGAATTTTCATTTTCCCATATGCTTGCCTATATTGAAGTATACAAAAAAGAGTTTACAACCTTGCAGTGGAAAATTCAACTGCAGAGGAGAGGAACAGGACAAAACAATATAGAAACACTCACATTTTAATGATTTCTTAGCAAACTTCTGATGTAGATAGGAAGAATTGAAGGAAGTAAGGAAGGAAGGGAGGAATGAAGGAATGAAGGAGACAGAAGAAGAGCTGAAACAAAAAGTAAATAAATAAGAAATTGTACCAATAAATATATAATATAATATACATAATACCTGATTAATAGTTAACAGATAGACTTCAAAATTTGAAGAAAATAGCAAGCCAACTGGATGAGTAAGATTCTGTAAATGAAAAAACACATTAATTTTGTATATATTTAGTAGAGAATTACCTTCCTTACGAAATCAAAGCCAAATGGATTGTAAGTGAAAGAATGAGAATGTTCCAGTATATATATAGTCCACCATGCAATGCTGTCTCCTGATTGGCCAATTGCTTTTCTTTAGGAAGGGAAACTCCACCCACATGACATTTAAAGAAATGATATATGCCAATATGAAGTTAATTTGGATAATATTAAGAAGATACGTGTACAAACAGTTTTATCAAGACAATTTCATTTCTAAAAATATCAAATATGTTTTATTCATTAGAACATAGGTATATAAAAGCATACTTTTGATATGAAAAACAAAAAATTTGAATGAAATGATATTTGTTTTATTAACAAATTTCACCTCTTTTCTATTCTTTATTACTTGTTTTCTTTAAAGTTATCACCCCTTTTTTCTATAAAAAGAAGAGGAAAATCAATAAAATTGTTATTAAAAATTTTCTTTTTCTGAATATTGTAATTTAGTTAAGATATTTGAATTCTACATAAAATTTCAACCGAAAATGATATAATTTTGGTTAAAATTGGTCATGTGAAAGTTATCAAACATATTTTTACCATAAATGGTATAAATGATAGTTAAATTAACCTTGGTTTTTCATTCCCACGAACTAACATTGTTTTGAGAACCACAATCATGTCAAGATAAAGCACTTGATAATTAAGTTTTGTTTACACTTCTCTTATCAAGAAGACCTTAATAGAGAACAATAAAGGGTCCTTTTTGACAAGTTCACCAACTCTTATGTAATTTAAAGGGTTAAATTTAGGTGAAAAAGTAACAGGAGGTATGTAATGTATATATTAATTTATATCAAAAGTATATCTATATAAAAGAAGATGGTAGGATATAGCAATTACAAAAATTCAACTACTGACCTAATAGCTATTACCTCCCATGGCGAATTGATCAGCCAATCAACAATTGTCCTATATATTAATTAGTAAATATAGCCTTATTTCATACCATTTCTCTATGAAATTTGAAGCAAATTCATTTCTTTGTAAGAAACAAAGAAAGAAGTAAAATATTTATTAATATTATTAACATTTCATTCAACAAAAAACAAGAAAAAAATATTAACTTATTTCCAATAATTACAAATATCAATTCCAAATATATCCAGCATCTTCTTGGAACTAATTTCAAAGCCATCTTTCTCTTCAAGCTTTCTCTTGATTGTTGAGATCTTTTGAACACAGCAATTCAATGCAGACTGCATATAATCATTGGTCTCCTTATTGAATAATCTCATCAAAACTAACCATATGCTTTTCACATGAATACGACAGAAGTCGCCCAGGGCAGAAGTCGCCCAGGACAGAAGTCGCCCAGACATTGATAGAAGTCGCCCAGAGCTGTGACAGAAGTCGCCCAGAAGTGTGATAGAAGTCACCCAGGACTATGACAGAAGTCGCCCAGAAGTGTACTAGAAGTTTACAGTATGCTTAATAAAATGCAAAATATATGAAAATAATTTATGAAGTAGTTTGTATTTATTATTTGTAATCTCTGAGTGATAATGAAAGAAATTGTTTTACCAGTTTTTTTTGTAGAGTAATGTTTTACCACTTGATTTGTTGTGAAAATTGAATTGTTAGCTATTCGAATTAAGTGATTTTCTGCATTGTAATCCTTCAAAAGTAACAATTGTTTTGATAAAAATATTAGTCTCTTTAAAATCATGTATATATCTTACAATTTTTTTTTAATTCTCATGATCTTTGACATAAGAGGTATTTGAAAGAAATTGATGAACATGGCAAAATTCTGCTTTGAATGTAGAAACAAATTTAATAAATTAAATGAAATGCATAAGATTTTTAGTTTAAAACTCAATACTGTACTTTGTATTGTGATTGTGGGAATTTTCTGCTGTACTGATCCAAATAGAACCTCAAGTTTGTGCACAAGTTTAAGCAAATAAATGATATTTATGTGAAACCTTCAACAGAATGCCAGTATTTTATTATTTAATTCATTCACTATTTAGTTATTATTAAATGATGCATTCTATATTTATTAATACTTATTATATATTTCAATTGTCAGAAATCAATAGAAACAAAGAACAAACACATTATGTCTTCTACAGTTCTAGGCGACTTCTGTCATAGTCCTGGGCGACTTCTATCACAGTTCTGGGCGACTTCTGTCACAGCTCTGGGCGACTTCTATCAATTTCTGGGCGACTTCTGTCCTGGGCGACTTCTGCCCTGGGCGACTTCTGTTGTTCCCTTTTCACATAATCTTATATACAGGATAAATGCATCTGTTTCATCAAAATCATCAATGCTATTCTCAATTCTTATGAAAACTGCATAGTGCTGTTGAACTTTAATCATCCAAGACTCCTCCATACAATTCAAAACAAATATAGCTATTTACTTGCTGCAAATTCATGAATGACCTACTTAACATCACCTACTTTTCATCTGGGATAATTAGAAAATTAGACAAAACAATAGTAATATTCTACTTTTCCACTTAAAACTGTTTTGTAAGTTTTCTCCTAAACTACTGGACAGGTTTTGCTCATTTTTTAAAAAAATAATCGCCATAGAATTTCCAATAATATGGCACAAGCCTCGATAACAAATTAGGTCACATGACTTGAAAAAAATATTTTTACATGGAAAAGAAAAATACAAGCATTGAGTTCAAATACTTTTGGACCTAACCTAAAATTCTTAAGCTTATTAGCAATTGTTGTAGAAACTGCATTATACTACTTAACTTTAACTATCAAAGACTCCATATTATTGAAAACAAAAAAAGAAAATTAATATTTAGTTAGGAGCTAATTGCTGAAAAGTTCAACTGTCAATATGTTTCCAATTTTCAAATAAATTAAACATGCCATTTATGAAAAACTGTATGTTAAAGTTGAGAAATATTATCGAAAATTTTAACATTAAGAATAGTATTTCAATACCTTAATATATTATTAAATTACTTCAATTGGGAAAAATTAACATCCTACACTTGCACAAATTAATATATAATCCTTTACATATTCGAAAGAGATATAACCATCCTATTATCTTCATTTACTTTTTATTTTACTGTTTAATTTACACAAATTCCTGAATGACCTACTTAACTTGACCTACTTATTTTCTAGGGCACAGTGAATACACAGTGAATATAAGCAAACAATGATATTAATATATTATTGTACTGCTCTTGCTGGCAAAATCTATGCGTTTGCAAGTTATAACAATACTGGTTCTACTCGAACCTTTAAACAAATGTTTAAATTAAAATGGTTTATTCGCAATAATAATACTTAAGCAAGTAACAATATGAGAGTTCAATAGCAGAGTAGATAGTTTGTAATAGCAGGTTGCCAAATTACCAAACT